TGCGCGGGAGCAAAACCTTCCTGGGGTTTGACCACTACTTAGGAAAAAAACTTTTCTACCCTATTCGACCCTAATTTAACTGTAATAAACGCTGTCGATCGAAAAACATGTTACCTATATATTTTTCTGAGTTACGCTTTTTTTTTAAATGTTCAGTGGCCCAAATTATGCCAAAAAAACTTCTTTTAAAAATGTAATTTTCATTTCGTAAAATAGTGCTTTTATACGAGTAGTATTTAGTTCCTTCAAACGATGTATTTCAATGTGCATACAACATGAAAATTTTGTACAAAATTCCCTAGGCGCCGAACGCCGCCGCCGCCGCCGCCGCGCCGATATTTTCGTAACTCGGCGGCGGCGCGTGAGAAATGACAAAAAACGGCGGCGGCGGCGGCGTGGCCCGGCGGCGTATACCTCTATTCCATACCACTATATATGTACATGCATATATGTATGTAAGTGACCAATTCTATCTCAAATCATGCAAGCCGGCTGCACCTAACTCTCTGAACCATTTCAAATTTTAGTATGTTATTCTTTTCGGAAAATAAGCGCATACGTATTTTTTATTTGTCGATATCATAAAAATTGCATATTTCATGCACTTTTTCTGAATCTTTGGACCATTTTTTGTATGCAGTTTTATAGCCCATACAATTTTAGTCCAATGAAGTACTAGTTTCAACCGGCTAAAAAATCCCATTGATTTTTCAGAATTTTTTTTCGTGACGAATTTTTGCACTTTTTGCCATATAAGCATGCATTTCATATGAAATACAATGGGAGAGACCGTAAGCAAAAAAATTTCAAAAAATTAACGCCAGTTATTGTAAATTGAACTTGATATAAAAAAAAACCGCAAAAGCAGCCTCCAAACAAAAATTCTCAAAACTCAACGCGCTTTTTTAGGCGCTTGAAACTTGCACTTCATTAGAATAAAACTGCATTGCCAAAAATGATCTAAAGATTCATATTAAAAAGTAGAAATTTTGATGAGAATTTGACGAATTTTCTTAAATTTTGTATGAAGTTTGAAACTGTGATTTATATGGTTTTGATTAGGATCGTATTTTTATAGAAAAATAACAAAAAATTTAGCTCGAAAAACATTACGAATATTTAAAAAAAAAAGTCAACACGTGACCATTTGTTTGAGTCACTGAGCTGTACTTGTGAGTTAGCGCTAAACGTTCGATAACAACACAAAATTATCCATCACTCAAAAACTAAGAGAGGAGCAAACGTTCGTTTTGCTGCCAGAGAAACGTTCATTTTGTGCTAGAAAAACTTTAGCCAGCAAAAATTATCCATTAATAATAAAAATATTTGTTCTGAAAGCATATGGTTGCAATTTTTGCAAACAAAAAAAATGGATTTTTTCGAATTTTGGTATTTAATATGCTTTTTGGCTGCCTTCTATGTAACTTTATGATACTGCTTACTAGTTTTTACTTCCAGAAATATTCCTAGCGAACATTGAACGTTCACTTAACTTTCTGCCAAGGCGGCAACATGAAATTCACTTTGTTTACCTAGGCTGCCAATTTGGCTCTTTTACCATCTAATCTGGCTTTTTTGAAGTCCATTTAGTGGCAGGATATGAGAAATTGCGGCAAGCGGGAGATCCAGCTTTTTGAGAAATTCTTTGATGGATTTTTAGTTTTTTCCCTTATACAGTATAGTACATACATATGTATATAAAATTACCAGATAATTTCGATACGATTAAAAAAGTTAATATATTTCCAGTGGGCAATGTTTTACATGCATCGCGTGAGGAGATAGAAAATGTTTTAGAACATTTTAAATGCAGTGATGATATCATTGAAAAAATAATAATTCAGTATAATGAATTAATTTTTTAAAATGGAATAATATAAGTCATACAATGAAATTTTGGGCAGAAGTTCAAACTTATACGGATACAGATGGCAACAAATTGTTTTCCAGTCTGCCGGAATTTGCACTTCATTTACTTTCACTACCTTGGTCTAATGCAGACCTGAAAATTTATTTAGTCAGCTAAACCTGGTGAAAACAAAGCTACGCAATAGTATAGTTATATAGTTATATTAACTTTTATTCTTATTTTTAGCCGACTTCAAAAAAGGAGGAGGTTATCGAACACAACTAGTACATGTGTTTTCGTTATGGAAAAATGAACGTCTCTCTTGCATCAAACTGTAATTTTTCTCTAAAATTTTTTTAATGATGGATAATTTTTATGTGGCACGAAAAGTGTCCAGTCAACAGTGCCACAAAATGTCTGCAGCCAAATCTGTTCAATGAAAGCAAATACACCTGCCGCTGTCGAAGCCGCTGAGCAAAATATTCACCTAGCTTCTGACGGTGGCTTCGATTGCCGAAGTTGGGAGTGCTATAACTGATTGCAGACCAATGCCTGGTCTTAGACTCCTCTAGCCAAATGGTAAGATGTCTATTTACCAGGTACTCCTCAGTGACCTGGTACCCAGAGTAAGACAAGTTCATTATATTTTCCAACATAATTAATAGAGACTTGCATAGCCGAACCAGTCTGGAAGTAGTTAGAGAGCTTGGCAATCCCTTGAGTGCAGCTTAGCTGGAACTATGTACATACACATAAACTCCTGCATCTCCACCTTTTTTCCACCACGTAGTCCATGGCCTTGAAGATTTCAAATACATCGGCTTGGAATACCGAGGCATTGAGCCTTATGAATAAAAACTAAGCAATTGCTTTTTCTTAAAATGTCCGATCTTTTACTTAAATTTATTTGAATGAATCGAGTAAAAGGTCTGTTGTTTTAAGAAAAAGTAAAAGGTCTGAAGTTTTAAGAAAAAGCAATTGCTTAGTTTTTATTCATAAGGCCCATTAAGTTAGCATTCAGCCCCATAAAACACAACCTTGTAAAATCTACTCATGAAAGGTAATAGTGGCGCACTATCCTGGGGCATTGAAAATACACGTGTTTCTTCCAAGAGCAATCTCCGCCTCGCCCCACTCAGTGTTATACCATAATCCATTTATTTTAAGCCTGCAGGTTGCCCTAAAGGCCTTGCCACGTATAAACGCCCAAAGTGATTGTAAGTGTAGCAGAGCATCAGGAACAGCGACAGGTGTTGAGAAAGCTCCCGTACAGCACACGGTGACTGTCCTGTGAAGTTTAGCAAGCAGATACTCTTAGATAATTAACTTCGGAAGAGATCTAAGACGTGACTCCTTTAAGTGTACTAGGAATTATAATATCCAACTTTCTCCTTCTAGTGAAGAGCACAACACTAGTTAGGTTAGCGGACAGCCCTTGTACCAATTATATCTAGTGTTATTTGCGCCTTCCTGCATACAATTTACAGAGAAGGGCACGTAATGAGGCAGGTCCCATCATCTGCATATGCCGGTGCATAGATTTACAAGAAAAGAATCAGCCAAGTACTAGGACAAAGGCGGAAGCCCTAATTAACTCAGCACGTGACATGTTGACCTCCTTCTGCCTGAAATCTAATAACCCGCGGCGCCAGCATTGAACTAATCCAGTTTAGCAGCACAGTATCTCTCCATGCCCTTGGGCCGATTTGCATATGCTATCGAGGGTGGCATTATCGAAAGCACCATCGATGTCTACAAAAATGCCCAAGGCGAACTGCTTTTTAGTGAGGACATCGCTTATTCTGGGAATCAGATTCGGCAGAGCCGTCTCACAAGAATTTCTCATCTGAAAGGGATGTTGATGTGAAGGCTGGAGGTGAGTTGAAAGCATCAGCCTACGAATACGCAACTACACTAGTCTATCCAGACATTGCAGCAAGAAATACATCATCCTATCAGTTCTGAAGCTTTTTGGGCTAGTATAGTCATCCCTCCCTACCTTAGGAATGAAGACAACGTATACTAGTCTCCTTTATTGTGGTATATGAGCAAGTGCTAGCAAAGCAGTGAACATGTTTTCCATGGCCGCCAACCGAAGCTCAACACTTTCATTATACCATCAAGACCGTGCGATATGAAGCTGTCAAAAGATCCAATAGAATCATCGACCACACAAGAGGATTTATCCGACACCAGTGGGTCATTGACAGCGACCGCTTCCGACTGTTAAGAGGAATATATGGGCACTACCTCACCGTTCTCATTCAGGATGCACTCCTGGTCGCTGACACAGGAGAATTTAGTGATAGGTGAAGCCTTCCGTGCCCTGCCACAAGTGCGGATGGATTTCCACAATTTTAAGTACCACCTGGAGAATTAACATCCTTAACAGTCGGGGTGGGAGGTACTTCAGTGAGACATTTTCCCGTCATACTACTACTTCGAGAGATACTCATACCAAGGGATTTGAGTCGTCTTTTACGACAAGCAAGCCCACTTACCGCAAGAAACTTAAGAAGCTGTAGATTTTAGATTACCATGTTTCAGTTTTACGTAAATTGGGATCGGTGAGAGATTCAGACTTAAACCTATTTCCGTGGTCAACTATATCTGCGGGTGTATCAGTGTACATTTAAATTTCCCAAAGAGTTTTTGGGGAATGATGTTAAAGTGACAGTCTTTGGCCGGGTATGAATCGTAAACATACGCGCCTTTCTTTGCCGTCAACCAGGTCAACGCGTCTTTCTTCGTCGATTTTTTTACGCGTCTTGTAATTTTTCCACGCTTCCTTTTTCGCCGTCAAAACACTCGCGCGTCTTTATTCGTGTCTAGTGATGAAATGTATGTAAACATTTGTTTGCCCGAATTTTTCGATGTGGCGGTGATCCGTGAAATATATAAAAAAGAAAATACCAAAACCAAATATTTTCGCTTCTGGATAAGGTTTACATGAGCTTTTAAAGCTCAGTTACTCTTTAACTTAACTTTTTTACTTTCACATTTCGTCGCTACGAATATAGATGTCGCTACCAGGGTTGTTGCGAATATTATTCCGCAATAAAAATTCTTTCCGGATAATAAACAAACCGCTTATCCAAATTAAACAAGTTTGGTACCAAATGAAAGAGGACATAAATAGCTTTAAACCTGAAATGTCTAAACGTGGGAAGCCACACACTGAAAAATATTCCAATAAGAAATGTTAATTAATTACCATAGAACAAACCTTGTGTCAGGTGTATGCATTTCTTTAGTATTAAATTATAAAAAAAATATAAAAAAATGAAAGCTATTTCATTCCTCTTTCATATGATACCAAATTTGTTTAATTTGGACGGGCGGTTTGTTTATTATCCGGAAAGGACTTTTGTTTCGGAATAATATTCGCAACAACCCTGGTCGCTACTTGCCACACCGAAATTCGCTCGTACTAGTCAACCTCCCCATCAGTTCATACCTGTTTATAAACTAGTCAGCCTTTGGAAAAGGTTTATCAATTAATGTACTAGGATGGCCGTTGATCACTTCTGGTTTTTGCTGCAGGTTATATATATGTACATATGTACATACATATGTATATGTGTAGATATGTACACGTATACATATGTTCATACATTTGGACATACATATGTTTGTCAAAGTGCTGGTTGCTTTGACATATGAGCATACATATGTATGTGCATACATACATACATATGTATCGCATGTAAAACACTCAAAAGCTATCTTAATTGAATTAAATGGACGATCGACTGCGGGTTTCTCGGCAAAGGTAAACATCTAAACTTACAGTAAATATATATAAATATGCATACAAATATCCGTACACAATCGGCGAAAACGGGAAACCCGAGATTTCTTAAAAAATAGAAAGTGGAATTATGTATTCCTTGGATTATTTCCGGGATTTTAAAAAACCCTGCACTCGTTTCAATATGCAAAAAAACCTTAATCTCGATTTTTAATAACAAATGCAAAGGTATAT